CAGGGCCTGCCCGCCGCCACGGCTACGGCGGCCGCGCGGGGACAAACCGCGCCGCCGCGCGCAGAAACGCCGCGCGCATGCGCCGTGCCCGCGCAGCGCCCCGCCTCCCTCCTCCCCCCTCCCCCGGTCAAACCATCCCCATTTAATGCGTTTTTCCTGTGGATTTGCAGGCAGGTCCCGTCATTAAGGTGAAGATCCCGAAGGACAGGGATGGCAAGCCAAAGCAGTTCGCCTTCGTGAATTTCAAGCACGAGGAGTCCGTCCCGTACGGCATGAGCCTGCTCAATGGCATCAAGCTTTTTGGGCGGCCCCTCAAGATCCAGTTCCGCTCAGGTAGCGCCGCGGAGCCGCGCGCAGGGACCGGGCGGGCGGCACCGCAGCCGCCTGGCCCCGGCCTGGACCCCCACAGTACCGAGCCCCGAGCAGGGCTCCCTGCACGTGCGCTCCACGGTGCTAATGCAACAGCACTGGCAGTAAACGTTGCCATGAGCCAGCCAGGCGAGCCGTGCTGGCCCGAGCAGTGCCACCACTTGCATACTTACCCCTGCCATTGCCCCTGTGCCCCTGGGAATGGAAACAGGCGCCCTGTGTTTGCAAAACTCCTCGGCGTGCCTTAGCAGGAGAACTTTGGCTGCAACGCAGCAGTTACCCAAGCGCTTGGTCACACGAGCGCACGCCAGGCCCGCCTCGCACCGTGCTSCCCGGCCGTGACCGCGAGTTTGTCTCTCCGCAGGGAGCAGCCACGCGTCCCACGATGGGAGCTCCCCGCTGGCGCCGCACGGAGCTGCCAGCGCGCCCGGTGCCGGCAGGTGGGCAGCGCTCGCGGCCACGGTTCCGTCCTGGGCCGCCTCCGACCCAGCGGGAAGGAGCTCAGCGCCTCGTCCTTCCTGCTCGGGGTGGTGGGACAGGGCCACACACGCTCCTTCGGGCCCATTTCTCTTGTACCCTGCCCTTCCTCATGTTTGCTCTTTCCTTGCAGATACGACAGGAGTCCTGATCACATGGTGGCAGCAGGACTCATGCCTGTACAGAGGTCCCCCGAACACCTCCAGAGACAGGCCATGGTATGCTCTTCTTTGGCACTCGGTGTCTAGATCTCTGCTCCTCCCGCTTCACAGAACTCGTTCGGGAGCTGTCTCTAATTTCCCACGCTTAGTGAGTGTAGCACATCACAGGAACGCGTTTATGGGGAGCTGAAATGGCAGGCCCAAAAGATTACAGCCCCTGCTGGTCTAAGCGTTTAATGTCCACGAGCTCTTTGCACTTTGGGCGCTCGGCTACAGATAAAGCAGCCGGGACTGGCTGTTCCGAGAGCGCTCAGCTGCTCCGTGCTGCTGGCGAGCGCTCAAATCAACGCTTAGCTCACCCAGGGCGTAAGCACGGCTATGCGAAGGGTACCGTTAACAATGACAAAAAAGCTCTTTTCCTTTTGTTCCTCGGATATTAACTCCCCAAAAAGAGTGTGTCTGATAGTCAGGAGGTAAGTCCATGTAGCACACGGATGACCCAGAGAAATCAAAAGGAATCGCCTGTATGCAGGCCAGGGTGGGTCCCTGCAGTCTAACGCGTGTGTCAGAAAGCAGCAGTGCTCTTTGATCCCGTTTAACTCCGTGCAAAAGGGCACTAGGCGGCCTCCCATCGCCGAGGTGGC